TGGCCAGTCTCTCTTCACCTTGTCGGCCGCGCGATGGCGGCTGCTGGCGCTCCTCGGCGGAGGGAGTAATCCTTGGACCACTGCGACGTGAGCGTCCGCGGGCAGCCCGACCCGCGAGGACAGTTGCGCTGGATTCGTTTTCGCTGGTGTTGCTGGAAGAAGGGCGAAAAGGCGATGCGCGGCAAGCGAACCCTGAGGCGAGCGACAGGGTTCGCGTTGGTGGCTGGGGCGGCGCGGTACCGTGGCAGACGGTACACACGTGCCACAGCCGTGCGGCTGGTTCCCATCGGGACGCTGAACACTATAGCACAGCTGCCTCCACCACCAGTTGAAATACGAAACAAAACGAGTGCTATGACACCAACACGTTTCAAGGCCAGGACGATGAAGATATGGAGCTTCAACGCGGAATCTCTACGGCGAATGGGACGACAAGACGAGCTCTTGGAAGTAACCAGGGCTGATAATGTTGCGGTCTTCACCATGCAGGGCATTCAGATGGATTTGGGCATGACCTGGAAGGCTAGGCAGTATGAGGTGCACCCGCTGGCGCGGTCGGGCAATTGCCAGCGCGACGGACGCACGCGGTATTTCCAATATGACGAGAATCGTTGCGAGCGCGTATGGATGTTAGGTCGACTGCGTGGCATCACACTCCGCAGCATGCACAGTGCCCGTTTCAACAGGGACATTTACATCATGAATGGGTCCAGGACGCCCCCCACAAGGAGCATATCCCAATTCCTACCAGGAAGCTCATCTGGCACTAAGGGACATGTTCCGGCAGACGTGTCGGCAAGCTGTCAGTCAAATGCCAACACGAACGGCGTTGGTGATCCTTCTAGGAGCGAACGCGCATCCACCTCCTGATGTACCTTGAGCCGGGCACGCTGGAATCCGCGGCAGGGCGCACGTGATCAACGGCAACGGCCGCTCAATGATGGACCTGATGGAAGACCACGGGCTGATGGCGTTCAACACCCTCGGCAGGACGAGGCGCTTCAACGGCGCTGGGCGCAGCCCGATCGGCACGTGGACCACCGTAGACTACGACGCCATCGTCCGCCGACAAGGCGGCTACGGCCACGCCTCTCGGCCTCGATTTGATCCACCTGTCAACCTGGGTGGCCATAGGGGCCACGGGCCGCAGGAGAAGAGGGTCTTTGTTGACAGACGACCACGACCACGACAGGAAAGAAGGCATCTCTGGAGACGCGAGCCCCCATTGATGGACTTCCAGGGCACCCGGCAGGCTCTGGGCGACTTCGAGAACAGGGTAACGCCCCCCAACACAGTGGTGGAGTTTCGCAGCAACGCGCAGGAAGGAACTGGGGAGAAGCAACTCCAGGAGGTTTGGATCGATCTATGCGGCCGCGGCAGGATGCACGATGCAGTTTCATCATTCTTGGACGAACTGGAGAAAGCGGTGGCGAACGCGGCGCTCCAGGATTATATCGAACCACCGCCCCGCAGCGGCGGCGCGGCCCCAGTCCTCGACGGCGACGCTGTTCAGCTCATCGCGACCATGCAGTGCTGGCAGCGGCAGTTGGGTGCGCTACCAGAAAGGGCCCGATGGTTTCGCAACTTCCTCCAGACGAAGTTCAATGAAGCCCCAAAAGCAGCGACGAAGGTGATCAGGAGCGAGAAGCGTAGGCGCACCGCAGAATTTGCCGAAATTGCTGAGCGCGCCGCTGGTCAGAATAACTTGAGGAAGCTCCACGCCATCGTTCGGAAACTAGCGCCCCAGCCGCCCGCCCCGATGATGGCAGCGAAGGATCCAACCACGGGTGTGCCACGCTTCGACATGGGGCGCGACGGGCAAGCGCGCGTCCAGAGCATTTGTGCATTATGCGACTGTCAGGCAATGCAACTCGACGATGGCCCACCTCAGACAGGAGAGGCCGGCAGAGATGATGACAGGACCGGCCCCTGCGACATGCGCGACGTGAAGCAGAGCATCATGGATTTTCCGAACATGAAGGGAGGCCCGATATTGCGGCGGTTTCCGTTGGCCCTTCCAATTGGCGCGGCGGCTGAAACGCGGAAGACCGCGGTCGATCAGCTCGCGGCCCCGCGGCGTCAGGCCCCCACTCGGTCCAGGCTCTGGGCGCAGCGCCTCGACGGTTTAAGGGCGGAGAGACGGTGCTTCTGCGCCAGCCCAGGGGCGACGGCAGCTCCGCGGGGCACCACTGCGGGGCCATCGGCTTGATCGGTCACGCGGGCAAGGCTTTCGCCCGGGTCGCGGCGCTGGGCGCACTAAGAGATGTTGCGCACAAGGTCTCCCCGACGCAGTTTGGTGCTATGCCGGGGCGCGGCGCGCGCGGTGCGGTCGCGGTGGCCTCTGAGGTCGTCGCTCGGCATTTCCGAGCGCGCCGAGCTAGGCTTCGAGGCCGATCTTCCTCCTCACCACCCATGTTATTGGTAGTACTTACCGACATTGAGAATGCATTTGACTTGGTGAACCGCCAAGACATCTGGATTGGTCTGTACGGTTTTCAAGTGCGCTGGGGCGCTAGGATGACTATCGAGGAGCTCCACATCTGCATGCGCCATCTGATCAAAGACGCGAAGACACGCGAGCCGACGAACAGGACGCGGGCATGGCGTGGAGTCCGCCATGAAGGAGGTGAAAGCCCAGGTCTCTTCGCGGTAGCGCACGGCGGGTTCGTGGCGCAGCTGGCGAAGGTACAATCAGAGATGGAGCTTTCGCGTATCAAGGTGCACTTCGACCCCGCGCTCAAGCGCATCAGGAACGACGGCGGCTTGGAGGAGGACGCCTGCGAGTGCGTGGACGCAACGGAGTTGAAGTTTCTAGATGACCTGCTCACATTCACGGAAGTTGACGAGTTCGACGACGCTTCCATTTTCTGGGAAGTTGTCAACGGCGAGATTGAGCTCGGCGGCATGCAGGCAAACGGTGAGAAGACCGAGCTCCTGCGGGTTCCGTCGGGGGTGGCCTGTATGAAGAGGCAGAAGCGCATCGGGGCTCGCGCGACAGGCATAGTCACATGGCAAGGCGACGACTGCTTCCGCATCCACCCCCAGCCGACGGTCAATAACCGTGGACCATTGGCGTGCAGCTTGCTGCCGCTGGCAGCTACCAGGTCGAGGTGGCCCACGAGATCCAGGCGGCGAACGCGGCCCAAGCTCGACTGCCGACGCGCCTTTCGAGGTCGGTTTAGCCCCGAGCTGAAGGTCAGATTGCGGGAATCCTTGGCGCGTTCAGTTGGCCCGTGCTGCCTGGAGGTGGCGAACCTTTCAAAGCGGGGACCGGCGCGACTGGAAGCGTGGCAAGTTCGCGAGATCCGAGGGCTACTCCACTCACCAGCACACCTGCGCAAGAAGACCAACCGCGAGATCAGGGAGACTGCCCGCGCCCCCGCTGTGGAGGGCGCTCTACTGAGGGGGCGGCTGACATGGTGGCGCCAAGTATAATGGCCAGCGCTTCGTGGGCCCGCGGCGAAGCCGCGCGACCCGGCCCGCGCAGCGCGCGCTACATCTCCGGCAGCCTCTCTTTTGGGGGCGCGACGCCGCGGGGGCCGACGGGCATGCTGGCGTTTTTGAAAGAGGACATGCGGTAACTGTGGCTGTCCTTTGAGGCCCGCGAGCAGCTCGAAGCACGACGTCTTTTCCTATTGCATGGAGATTTTCCAGAGCTGGCCGAGCCATGGCTGAAGTGGCTGGCCGCTTTGGAACCGCGGAGCTATCGCCGCGTGCTTACTTTCGGCGACTCTGCCTCTGCGGTGGAACCGCCGGTTGATGCGCGACTGGACTGCGATGCGCGCGCAGGAAAAAGTGCTAAGGAGAGAAGGGGCTGGCCAACCACAAACTTGCGGCCCAGCAGGCATTCGCAAATCAGACGGTTATGATTCTAACCGATGACGATTTGAAGCGAAGGCGATGCCCGTGCTGCGCAAAACATATCACGAGGGAGGATGCGCTGGCCAGACAAGACATACCATGGTCGATGCACTGCTCGCCCCGAAGGCTTGGAGGCTTAAAGTGCGCCGGTGGCAGCTCCAGGCCCTGAGTCATCGCAACCCCCACCTAGAGCTGCAGCGGCTGGCCCAGATGTCCAAGCCGATCGGCGAAGCGCAGGCAGCGAGAAGCGGCCATGAGGTCGTCGGCGGCCGTGGGCGGCGCGGGCGAGGGCGAGGTCGAGCGCGACATCGCGGGTCCGCTCGGCGAGGCGCAGGCGCGGCTGACGCTGCAGCGCGAGGACATGGCGAGGGCAGGCCACCGCGACGACAAGTTCGCGATGACGCTCAAGCCGATGAGCAAGCTGGAGACGGCGCTGGACCAAGCGTTCACGCACTACGAGGACGAGGGCCGCAAGGCCCAGAAGAAGTCCAAGGGGGGGGCCGCCTACATGGGCAACCCGCCGGGGAAGCGCCCAAACGCTCTAGCGAAGGCGGTGATCTCCCGCGTCGCAGAGGCGGTGGAAAGCAAGAAAAGGCAGGTGATGGCGGCGGCGGAGCAGGCCCTGGACCTGACGGAGGCCATGGAAGCGCCGGAGGTGCTGGTCAACATGGACAAAAAGGTTCAGGGCCCAACGGCCAAGTTCGTGGTCCCGCGACGCTTCAGGGCGAAGACGGGGCAGCCGTAGGGCGACGAGGGCGCGGGCGACAGCGAGTTCAAGTGGATCTTCGCGCTCGACCGCAGCCCGCGGCGCAAGCTGGCCCTGGCGGTGCTTCGTAGGAACGGCGCGCCCGCAGCGGCGGGCATCCACCCTCGCGCGCGACGCCCCGACTAGGAGCAGGGGTGCGAAGCTGGCGGGGCCGCTAGCTTTTAAGAGCGGCCCGAGCAAACAGGCGGGGGGGGGAAGAAGCATAAGCGGAAGTGAGCGGGGCTGGCAGAGGCAGAGCACAGAGAGCGTCGAGGCCCCTCCCCCTCCCGTCTCGTTCGATTATCCTTCGTCCGAGCCTCCGTTCCCGAACCCCTCCTGGGCGAACGACGCTCTCTATGTGCTTCAGTTTTGGACGTCGGGGCCCAGCCCGATGAATTTCGCAGCGCGGGGCCCCGTCAATGGAGGTCAGTTTTGGGCCGGTTCGCCGGGGCCAAGCGCCTCTCTCCACTGGGGGGGGGGGGGGGGGCGCACTGCGGCGCCGCCCCGCAGAAGCAGGGGGGCGCGGGGGCGGGGCTGAGGCGCAGCTGCCTTCCCGCCTCGCGCATCCCCTCCCTTGGGGTGCCATCCGTTCTCGGTTGCGCCGCGCTGTCCAGCGGTTGTTCTTAGCTGCCCCCGCGAAACTCCCTTGGGAATGGGAGTAGCGTTCAAACAGGAAGTACAGGATGTGCATTTGGACTTCTGAAGCCCACGACGTAGTTTCCACCGCGTCGCGCACGCGGTGTAGTTCACGCTTTATAGCCGACAACACATATAATCATAGTGCGGGGGCCGAGCGGTCATTCATTGTCCCGGTGCGCGTGGCTGAAAATGAGGTTTTGCGGTGCTGGTTGTTGGTGTTGTTGTTGATGTTGTTATTGGTGTTGTTTTTGTTGTTGAATTCTCACTTCTGGAGAATAATTATTGTTGATCCCCCCCACTGGTGCTTACTGATTTTTCTAAATCAAAGTGTGCCCCTCGACGCTCGCACCCTGTTTTTTGACAGGGGAATTCTTCCTGCTCAAACTGGCCCCCTGGCCCCTGGGTTACAACAACAACGGCTCCCGCCTGAGACTTCCTGACAATTTAGCCAGGGCCCCCGCTCCCGCCGGAGACTTCCTCGCATGTTATTCAGGAATCGCGCTCTCGCTTGGGACTTCCTTACAATTTATCCAGGAATCGCTCTTCCGGCGCTCTGGAGTCGCGCTCTCGCTGGAGACTTGCTTGCAACTTACTCAAGAATGGCCTTGCGTTGGAATTTCCTGCAATTTGCCCAAGCGCCGCGCTCCCGACACCCAGGCGCCCAGGAGTCGCGCCCCTTGTGGCCCCATGTGCATGCCCTTCGTGGCCCCGCTGTCGCCGTTTGTGCCCCCCTCACTGTCCTCCGTGGCCCAGTTGCTACCCTCAGTGGCCCCATAGTTGCTTTCTGTGGCCCCGCATTATCTGCACTTCGTGGCCCCCTGTCGTTCGCGCTTTTCGTGGGCCCATACGCATTCCCTTCGTGTCCCCGCTGTCGCCCTTCGTGCCCTACTTCGTGTCCTTGTGGCCCTGCTGTCGTTCTCTCTCGCTCTCGCTTTCGCTCGTCGTCGCCGTCGTCGTCGTCGCCGTCGTCTTCGACGTCGTCGTCGTCGTCGTCGTCGTCGTCGTCGTCGTGGTTGGTCCCCTGTCCGTCCCTCTTGGGGTCGGGTCGACGGTCCGCGGCCGCCCCGCCGACGCTGCCGCTGGCCAGGCAGACGGTCCGCGGCCGCCCCGCCGCTTGCCAGGGCCCAGCCTGCAGGGAAGAAAGGTATACCCCCCAAAAGGGGCTCGATCGAAGACGAAGAAGGCGGGTATCGAGGGTTTGAGAAATACGCGTGATTGGATACTCGAGCATATAAGGGCGAACAGTCTTAAAATGATTGTTGTTGTTGTTGTTGCTGCTGTTGTTGTTGTTGATGATGTTGTTGTTGTTGTTGTTGGTGTTGTTGTTGTTGTTGTTGTTGTTGTTGTTGTTGTTGTTGTTGTTGTTGTTGTTGTTTGCGTCCCCCCCGCGACCCGGCCTGCGACCCACCCGCGACCCACTCTGCGACCGACCCACGTCGGTTTGAGGAAAAAGCGGCACCTGCGGCAGGCTCATGTCATAATTTATAAAGGTTCGGCGCCTGCGGCCGGTGTCGTTCGAGCCTCGCAGACTGCCGACGTCCTCGCCGTCCCCTCGCTCGTATCGACAACTGCGGGGTGATACGTACACCTCCAGCTCACACTACATATATGACACGATGCAGCGTGCACCACACACACACATTGCACCCGTAACTTTCACTTCCATACTTCATACCATATAGCTTACACGTCATAGCTTAACAACATTTTGCATTTCGTTCACCACAGCAGTGCAAGGACTCACTGTTCGGATCCACGCTGTCGAGCCAGTTGTGCAAGCTACGTGGCGTGAGCTTGGTGGCGAAATCTAGGCGGGGTAAGCTATGTGGTGCGATCCATGTGGTATAAGCTGCGTTACGTGATCCATGTGGTGTAAGCTATGTGATGTAATATAGGTGGTTTGCATTCGTGTGTGTGTGTGTTTGAACTATTTGTGTTCTAGAAGTGGTGTGATCTATTCGGTGTAAGCTATGCGGGGCTCACGATGCGCCCACGAGCGGGCACTAGCGCGAACGTTGCGAAATCTGTGGAAAACCACCCAGCGCACGGGGCGTCCACGAGAGGTCACGGGCGCGAACGTGGCGAAACCTGGGGAGACCCGCCAACGCACGGGGCGCCCAGGAGGCGCCTTCGAGCGGGGGCACGAGCGTGAACGCGGCGAAACCATCAGAGAACAACGAGTTGTCTGGGGGTCGCACAGGGGGCATTACCCTCAGGTGGCAGTTGGGAACGACCTCAGCTGGTTGGGTATAAGCCCTTCTTTGGGGAGCCATGTGGAGCGATTGTCCTCTAACCCTACTTCTGCCCCGATCCTACCTTTGCTCTGTAAGTGCAAAGTGGGTACGAACAGGAACGGAACGAAAACCGACAGCATCTCGTGTCCGTTTTCAAACAGGACTCGTTGTCGGTGTCGCCGTTGACGGTGCCCACTCGACGCAAGAAGTCGCCTGCCCAACAGCGGCCGCTGTCGGTTGTGGACAACATTTGCTCTTGAGCATCGTTTTTCGGTAACAAATTTTGGGCGTCCCAACCTATGTTTTCCCGACCGACGTGAGGCGCCAACAGTTTTTGGAATCCAGGGATCCAAGGGTGGAGGGTGAAGGGCGCCGCACAAGCACGGTGGCCAGGCCAGCCCAGAAGGCGGAGGGTGCCCGACGGCACGTCCCCCATTTGGCCCCCTGGAGGGCCCCCTCCCCACGTTATGGCTGGGACAAAAGTCTCCGGCTCCCGATTATGATGATGTCTCGGGGAGTGCTCTCTTGCTCCCCTGCACCAATCCTCGAGCTCCCCCAAAAAAGTCCGGCTGCTCAGAAGGGAAAGGAAATTCGTTGATACAGTTCGGTGAGGCTGATCGGACGCACCCCTACCGCGGACGGAGGTTCCCCACTGTGTATCCACGAGTTGGGCCGCAAACGGATGGTCCAGTCGAACATCCCATAAAGTCGGGGATGTTGGTCGCCATACCGCTCGTGAGTCGAGGTTTGTCGCAGGCTCGGGGTGCAAAAGGGTAGCAGCAAGACTCGGTTCAGCAGTGAGGCCTCGCCCTTCCAGGTGGATGGAGATCAAGTGCGGACAATTCTTGAACGAACAGGCTCGTGGGCGAGAAACATGTCCATATCGACAGCCCTCGCGGGCTGGGCTCTTCAACCGCGACTCCATGAATACGGAGCGGCTTTGCGCGATGCACCCCGCGGAACGCATGCATGCGATCGCGTAACCTTCGGATCGGGCCCCAGAATCCAGAACGCGAGGGCATGGATACGGATGTGTTCATCGCTCGCGACAGGCTCTTCAGGTGAAGGCGCGGATCGAGAGTGATCCCCCAGACGACAGCGAGTCGGACTGAGAGCTGCTCCGGCGCGCGGGGCCGCAACAACGGGCCGCCAGCGGGACAGCATAATGGGGCTGGCTCTGGGCATGGCCATCTCACGCATTCACGTGTGTGTAGTGCCACATGGATGCTGCACGCATTCATCGTTCGTTGGAGCACGCTCTCTGCGCCGTAGCACAGCCATTCAGGCGTGGTGCGAGAAGGCATCTAGTTTTTTGAAGGTTTTTCATTGGCGATGCTTTGGCCGTCTTTGGGCTGTCCTTGGGCTCCTATGGGGCTCTCGTGGGATCCTCTCTGGCCGTCTTGGGGCCATCTTGGACGTCTTCGTGCCGCCTTAGGCCCCCTCGGGGACGTCTTGGGAGGATCCTCTTGAGTCTTTCTCGGCTCATCTTGGGCCCTCTTGGGCTGTCCTGTGCCCCCTCTTGGGCCCTCTTGAGGCCCTCTGCAAACACCCTACAGGATTCCTACGTTTTTTTGTTGTGGTGTTCGCCTACCGGGAGGCGCGCCTGGCCTTGAGTTTGATGTCTTTGAAGCCTATTATTGGGGACCTTGTGGCGCCACTTGGGTCTTCTGGGGGGCTGCTGGGTGCCACTTGAGGCAATCTTGAGCCGTCTTGGCGGCCTTGGTGGCCTTGCTGCTGGGCCGTCTTGGAAGCCCAGGGGAGCCTGGGATAGCCTTGGGGACGCGTCGGGTCGCCCGGGGAGCCCCGGGAGGACTGGCGATGCAGCATCGCGTGATAGAAGGGGATGTCTTTTAGAAGATCACCGAGGCCCTGCCAGACAGCACTTGGCATTCTACAACGCTTCAGCGTACCAGTGTGCGCGGTGGTGGATAATCAACAAATGTATGACGGACGTAGCGGGGGCGATAGCCGCAGGGGACTTCGAGCGCGGAGCCTCTTTGCGAGTCTTCTGCACTTGTGCAGCGCGAGCTGCTTCGCATAGCTTCGCCCAAGCAACCAAAGCATAATCGCTGCCAGAGCGCAGGGAACGGAGGTGGAGGAGGGGGACAAGGAGGAGCATGAGGAGACGGATTGGTCAGACCATCCTCGTCGCTTACACGGGTAGCTTTTTCAGTCGATCGCGATGTCGGTCGGAAGCGACGCGTAGGAGAAAAGTTTAACGATGCCTGGTTGCCGATCAGGGGTGTGTGCCCAGGCAGGGCAAGTAGGCGCCGGAGGACGTCACCGCTGGTCTGGTTCTGGAGGTGGCGCACCCAATTGGGGCGTATTGTGGCCAGTACTCTTGGCAAAAGGCAGGCGTGCCGTTGTCAAAACTAGGGCTCTGGCATTGGGGCAAGTGCCCCGCGCGCTTATCCGCGGGACAGTTTCAAGGCCCCCCCGCGGGGCCGCGCCTGCCACATCGCCAAGTGGTGGGGCGTAAGCGCGCCAGCGCAAGTGCGCGTGCCGCCTCCGCGTCCTCCAC